ATAACTGTCCATGTTGTATCCGCCGGTAGGTATTTTATGATTTATTTCGCAGTCATTCGTCGAATTTAGTGTTTGATGGCTTAAATATTTCTTGCCTTCTTGGAACATATTATAATATCCGTGTAGCGTTTATACTGCAGGTCTATACTCTGTATAATCGACCAACGAGTTTTTTTTATTTAAAATACAAATCTTAACGATTTTTTAGTCGTTAAATCTGTAACAATTGATTATACACTCTACAAAACGAAAAAATGAAACAATATATTTTTGTTCACATCAAAAATGTTTATTATAACAAAAGGGCCGCAAATAAGAAAAAAAAATAGAAATTTATATGTGTGAACAATTTAACAATTTTGAATTTTGAATAACTTAAATTTAAAAAAAAAATACGACGGACAGGATAGACACAATAAACAAGGGGGGAGGATGCGAGATGGCGATTGGTGCAGAAATGCAGTGTTTGCTGGCCACTGGTCACCTCTGCACGTTCTCCGACCTGTCGCGCGGGTTGACGAGTATCGCTGGCGCGTTTGCTCGGACGCTTGACGACCTTGCCCAGCCGGCGAGGCCAGACCGAGGCGGCCACGGGAGCGACCACGGTTGACGGCGACTAGTGCGCGATGTGGTGCGCGTCGACGGTCGACGGCGTGACGACTCGTGACGACGGACGGCGAAGACCAAGACGTGGAGCCAGCGAAATGAGATTCTGTGCTGCGGATCCGGTGGGGACGACCGAAGCGGCCGACTTGGGATTACCGCGGGGCGAAAAGGCGAAAGCCAGCGGACCACAGCGTGATCCTCGACTCTCGGTAATTTTCGCCCTGGCGTTGTCCCTTCGGCCGCGGCGCGCCTCCAGACCCTGAAACGGTTAAGTTTCTGCGAGTCCGGCGCCGCTGACGTCCCCGTGTTCCTAGCACTCGAATCTCCGTACCACTCACCCCGTGCCGAGGTCTCCGCCGGTGCCGTCGTACCGAGTCGCCGCCGCCGTCGTACCGAGTCGGTGTACCGTCGGGTCGGAATCGCTGCCCACGCCGGTACGTCTACTAGCCGCCGTCCACCGCCGCCATCGCATCACGTGAACGTAACTGCGGTCCTGCGCTCGCCGAGCCGCCAGAGGGTCTCGCGCGTCATCGACGACCGAGCGCGCGACGCCAGCGAACCAGTCGCGCCGCGTGTGCAGGTCGGAGAACGTGCGCGGGTGACTTACCGCCGCGCACCGTCCGTGCTCTTTCCCGCATCCTCCCCTCCATTCCGTCGCCGTCATCTCCTGTCCGTCGTCTTCGCCCAGGGGGGTCTTCTCCTGTGGCGGTCTCGATATTTTCATCCGATACATCGTCTTCTGGACACAAAATATCCTCCACTTCTGCTTCAGAAACCTTCGAATTTCCGTCTTCTCTTACTGTGTCGTCGTCGTCGCCGAGCGGTGCTGTCTCTGGGATCGGACCGAGCTCCGACTCTGCAGCAGACGACAGCGCGTCGCCGCTCGGCACTCCGCCACAGTGCGGGGAGACGGTCTCCTCGACGTCTTCAGCCAACTCCTCTCCGTCTGCGCCTCCGAGAGTCGAGCCTTCGGGCTCCGACTCCAGGGTCTGAACGTCGCTGTAGTGGCGACCGTAACAATGGCAGACAGAAGTGGAGTGACTACAAGAACGACAACGAGATATTCGTCGGTTTCATAGGCCAAAGCGAGTTCCATCTTGTTGACCAAAAATTCTTCCACCATTTCCAGTAATATTATGTTTTTGCGGCTAGGTCGATGTTGTAGTTTGTTGCCATAATTTATTTTTTGAAAGAATATAATATTTGCGTTTGGATTTAATCGAGAATGAGCTAACACCTAACATATAGACCGATCTCCGAGAAAATTTCCCAGACGACGGCGTGTGTTACTAGCCAGCTAGTATTTTTATCGTTCTAAGAAAAACAAAAGGAACAACAGGAATTTTTAAGTAAAAAATCGATTGTTCACAAAATTGAATTTGGATTTTGGTGTAACTTTAACATTGAATATTCACTCGATTTCTAATGTAGCGATATTCTTATTTTGTTGTGATTCAAAAACGAATAACTGTAGGTACATGCAAATGTTACTGAATGTTTATTTTATCAATTCATATACTTGATAACATTTTCAAAATATTTTGACTTGTTATGAGCTGTTTACGGACAATTTCATATTTCAATTTTTTTATTTTTTTTCTATGAATATCCATTAAGTTTTATCTGTTGGGCCGAAAAGTGTAAAAATTGAATACAAGTGTCCTGATATATTGTTACAATAGCAGTTGAAAAATATTAAAAATACATAGGCACAATTTTTTTTTATAAGCTTTTAAAGATCGAATTTTGACAAAATTTATCAAATTTAAAATTGAATAATTATTTTGTAATTAAAAATGTATAAAATGTTCAACTTTTATATCTAAGGATTGAACATTTAAAACAAGATTCCACGTGAGTAGTTTATTCTGTTACCAAAAAATCTAAAAAATACATAAGCACAGTTTATTTTTATAGAAATTTTAAGTTCAAATTTGGACGAAATTACATAATAAAAAACCTAGAATAACTATTTTAGTTATTTTGTTGTGGTTGTATAATATTATTCGTGGGTATTTTTGGAACTTCTAAAGTATACTACCAATTAGTAATTAGTAATTACTATATATCTATGATAGTATCATGGTTTGTTATTGATGTATAACGCGTTATAAGTACCTAATGGATATTGTGATATGGTTAATTTGAAATTTTTTTTTAATACCATATAGATAAGTATATTATAATATGTCTTATACCTAGACTGACATACCGGAATCGTTTTTCTTATACAATGATATTATATCATTGAATTCAAATTTAATACCATCCATTATACAGTGACCCACTTGTAACCTACTGTACAGCAGAGCACCTTTTTTTAAATTTTTTATTCAAAAACAAATAATTGTAGGTACTTGAAATGTTTATTTTATCATTTCACATCCATGATAACATTTAAAAAATATTATGGACTAGTTTTGAGTTATTTATGAACATATTTAAAGTTTATTTTGTTTTTTTTTTTTATAATTGTTACCTAATACAACTTTTTTGTTGGGTCAAAATGTTTGAAAATATAGTATAAGATTCCTCTTAAGTTGTTGTAACAGCAGTTGAAAAATATTAAAGATACATAAGTCGAATTTATTTTACATAAGCATTAAAACTTTACATTTCGACAAAATTCATCAATACCTATATGGACATTTTTAATAAGTCAGTATCACGATTCACTAGTTTATATTTATTGTTTATTCTCGAAATGTTTGAATGAAAAACCTACGCGCACGTTTTATAGCCCGCGGTTTTCTCTTTACAAATATTTATTATTTATTATAATATAAATTCGAATTCATCCCTGCATATCACGTTCCTGTAACATTGTACACATTTATCCGAGTATAAATGTTACGGCCTATGGGTTAGGTACAAAAACGGGTAATTTACCTACATATTAACCGGGTAATGTTAACCTTATTCATATGAACAGGGTAATCTTATATATAAAAATGAATTGCTGTTCGTTTGTCTCGCTAAAACTCGAGAACGGCCGGACCGATTTGGCTAAAATTTTTTTTTATGATGTTCGTAATTACCTGGAGAAGATTGGAACGATAGAAAATTTTAGAAAAATCCACCGGAAAAGTAGAAAATTTAAATGTCAACAAATACAATAGTGGCACCATCTGTCCAGAAAAAAATTAATTTAATAATAAAAAAATTAGTTTCAGATTAAAATAATAATATTATGGTATATTGGTTGCTATTGGTTAATCGGGCATGTTTGTTGATTTTTATTTTTTACTCGAGAACGGCTGGTCCAAAATGGTCCAATTTTTTTTAAGATGTTCGTAATTGCCAGGAGAAGATTTATACGAAAAAAAATTTAGGAAAATCAATCAGAAAAGTAGGAAATCTGGATGAAAAAAATACAACAGTGTATTATAATTTATATTGGTTGTTATTGGTTAATCGGGCATGTTTGTTGATTTGTATTTTGTTTTTTGTCAATATAAATAAATGAATGTTTGTGTGTAGATTAGACCTCTAAGAAGAAGACAGGCTAATTTAAAAATGGTTAAATTTGGTTTTTTTTTATTCATCTGATATTAGTACGGTTAGGATTTTGTATTAACTGATTATATTAATCCACCATTAGGTGGAATACAACAAACTTGGTATAACTTTGATACTTTAGAGTTAAATCATTCATTTACGTACAAATATCAAGGGGTCCGCAGGTAGATTGCTTACCTCATACCTGATAATATACTGCTGCGAATCAGAATTATTATTATTATCCCGGCCAACGGAAAAGTTAAGATAAATTTTGAACACCATACACTGAATATTAAATAACGAATTGAACTAAGTTTGGGTCATATAGATTTGGTACATTTAACGGGTAACGAAGTACACGGGATCAGCTAGTGTATAATATTAATTATTAATATATATCTACTTTAAATAATTAAATTATGTAAAATATAAAAAAAATATTCTTATGAATGCTTTTAGTCAATGTTGCGTGTTGTGTATGATCCAGAGAGAGAAAACTAACAGTGCGCTGACATCCTCTTATAAAACGTAAAACGCTATAGCCTATATAACTTCTTCGTTTAGGTTTATACTAGATTACACGTTATTATTATAATATTAAATATGGTAATATACATTACGAATAAATAAATAATTACTTATCATATTGTATCATTTGTAACTGTTAGTTTGACATTCATACCTGAATAGGAATCCGAAATAAATTTAACACAGATTCAATAGTTAATAAATAATAACTAATCCATATTATATTGTTCTGAATTGTCCGTATAACAAAACTTAAAATAAAAATAATTCAGTCGCTTTTTGAGGTAATTACAATAATAATGATAATATCATTATTTGAAATATTTTGTTTCCGTGTATTGCTGACTTCGTCGTAGTTGACCAGTTCACTGAGAATGGATGGTATTACAAAATTCGTTGACCATTTGGTTTAAGGCGAACGTCCGTCCGGAAACCGGATGGGTCCTTGTGGTGGTCGTGTATGACTTGTGGGGTAGCCCGTGGACTTTTTCACTTTTGCTTACGGTCGTGCTGAAATTTAAATCGTTTGATTTGAAGGAAAAATATGTGCATACTACAAAGTATTAGGGTCTTGGGCCTGGGTCTAGGCCTTGCTGATTTAATATAATTCATGTGTCAGTTTAGTGTTATTATTTATTATAATTTATAGGTAAGTTGTAAGTACTATATTGTCACGATACTCACGTCACGTTCGTATCCACGAAAACTATTCGCATGCATAAAACGATTTTTGTCGCAAATTCAGCGTCGCTATGCATGTGTAGCAGCCCTTCGGTGATCAGTGCAAAGTCTACTTCGTCTGTTACCAAGTCTGTATCCAATTTCAATGACCCCTGTATGCTGACACCACCGCTGCACAAAGAACAAACCATTATAATTTAAACTAAATGGGCGCGTTGTCGCCAGAAAGGCGTTTTGGAGTAAAATAATAAAATCAAATTTTTATTGGAACTAATTTTAGATTCTGAGCGGGGCGTGTACCTATTGATTTTAAAATGATGGGTTTGTTGTAGGTATATTATTTATTTTTTGTGTCTGTAATTAAATTGTTGTAAGAGATGAATGAACATAATTTGCGTTTATTTATATGTTGTTTTTTATGCTATAAGACATGTTTATGTGTCGACACATTATATACATTATTGTAAGACTACGAGTTGCCCTCATTATTTTAAATTTTATACCTACTGTAAAGTGTAAACATTAAAGTGCCTGTTTCTTAAAACGAGGTGAATGATGCGTTTAAATTTTTAACAAAATTGTTAAATCGTATTGATTATTGAATAACTAATCAGATTATTCACAATTTGCAATCGTCAGCCATAAAACCTGGAGAATATTGGTGAATATTGAAGATTGTATTGTAATACATTATTACTAATAACCTTATACATTTAAACAACTATTGTGACGTAATATATTGGTTCAAATTAACAAATTATATACAATTGTTGTAATATTTTAATAAAAATTTAAACAATAAATAATAATTTATATTAAATTATATTATATTCTTACTTTTTCTCGATTACCGATTGCGCGTTTTTATTCCAAAGGCTCATTTCTATTTGACCAGATATGTCCAGTGACAACATTCCTTTGACGTTTAGCTCGGCCGTAATTCCGTTGCTCAGTGGCACGTATTGTAAATGTTCGATCATTTGAGATATGCCCTGCAAAAGTACGAAACAATATATTATTTACAAGTTAGAAAGTCAGTTATAGAACACTTGGATAAATACAGAAGAATTTTTTCAAGTACCTACTATAAGTATAAAATATATAGGTACTCTATATTGCTCGTGTATTATTTTAGGATGTTTGAAAGGTTTTTTTTTTTGGAGTTAGGGGCTAAACTCTCTTATTTGCACCTCTGGCCGGTAATAATTATTCGTTAAACCATTGATTTTATAATAGGTATACTATATATATTATATGTACCTGAATGATGGGTGTTTTGTCCGACCCGGTTCCGGCCCAGACGTGTCCCATTAACTGGCCTTGACTAGAAAACATAATGAACGGTCTGATATGCACGCCGAACACTACGAGTTCTAGACCAGCTGTGGCCGGTAAGTTGGCCTCGTCCGACGTGTCCTTTTTGCCCGAATCGTCATACAGGGACGTAAAATACCCGAGTCCGGTTGTGAACATGCCGAACTGAAACAATATTACTATAATAATAATAATAATAGGTACAGTGTACACACAATATATTTGTATCATAAAAAGTCGTAAGCTTATAACTGCACGGTTATCTGAATTAGTATGTGTATCGCACATATATTACCAGCATCAGATACACACCATAATATGGTATGCACAGACATGCAAGATGCATATATTATATAATACTTATGTCATTTAGTTACTATAGTAGATCAAAATGTATGGGTGACAAACATTTAGGAGAGTACTTCCATTTTAGTTCGATTTAAAAAATGAAAATACGTTCGACCAAGTTCATTAGAAAGCATCAGCCGGGGCACTTTTTTAATGTTGTTAAATTGTTTATGAGAGTAAAACGTTTAAATGTTAAATATGTTTTTAATTTTCCAGACCTACCTAACTTAATAAAAAATGTCCAATAGAAAAAATATGCTACGACAGATGAAAAGTAAATTTGTTTACTTCCCGAAGATCAAGCTAGTGCTACACGAGGTATACTACGTACCTACATTTTTGTCAGGCGTGTTGGTCGTTTGGTGAAAAATTTACGGGACCTAATATTATAATAAACGCACTTACACTGCATAAGTCGTATTTAACGTTGTCGTGTTCCAATACAATGTCCACGGACCCGCGTTTGGTTACTCCCGAATATATCTGTTGAGAGTTTTTCACCAGTCCAGTGATGTTGTTATAGTTGATGAATTTTCTCGAAAAACACGACGATAAGCCTCTCTGAGCCATGCTGCCGTAGTGGTTCAACCGTTCGCGAACCAACACCGTCCGCAACAGTCTCGCTGAGGTCTCATTTCTAAAAAAAAAAAAAAACTACCACGGTTATGAGTTTTTTTTTGGATCGAAATATATTCCCGTATGCATAGTAAATTTATGTGTCACATAAAATATGTTGCTATGCCTCATATGACACATAAGTTGACTATGCATAATATGGACAATAATGTTTTTAATTTTTTATAATTCGTTGTATTCTCCGAATATTATATAGCTAACATTATTATAATATACGTCTAGACGGGCGTCTTATACGTTTAAGAACCTTTCAAATGTCTCACTGATTAGCCATTTCCTTCAATAGTTCCAACGCGTACTGTTTGATTTCGTATCCTTCACCCGGCGCCGAAAGCCACTCAACCACGTGTTTCAGCAGGTCATAGTCTGGATCAGACTCCAGGAGTATGGCTAGTGCTATTGTCCTGGTGCTGCTGTCCTGTTCTTTGACCAACTGAAAGAAAATTCTGTTGCAACATTTCAGCACTCGATTGTCCCACAAATCCGGTCCAAACATTTTAATCGTTTTCATGGCGTAAGCACTAGTCCTGGAAAAAAACAGAGTATTATAAAAATATTATTGTATTAGAAATTATTGCCTTTCTGTTATTACATTCTGTTTCCGTGTTGTGCAAAGCTCAACAGCACTTCAATCGACAGAGGATGTTTGAGATTAGACAACGCTCTGATGTACGTTAGAATGCATTCGTCGTCGTCTAATTTACATTTTTCCAGCCTTTCCAATGTCTTAACGACTAGTTCACCGCAAATCTAAATTCAAATATACATATTTTGATGTTTTATATGTTTTATATCCTGCGCTATAGCGTCTATAGACGCGTTTTTTTGTAAATTTTGATAAAGATCATACTTACGAGAACATTAGCGTCCGTGTGATTGTAACGAGCCAAACGACTGGCCATAGCGGTTACGGTGTTAAATAAGGTGTCCACTATTTTTTTACTGGCTAGTTTCTCATCAGTGATTGATAATAAACCTATATAAATTATTAAAGTCGTAAATATTCAAAAACTATATTTTACCCGAGGAGTAGTGTATATTACTTTTTATGATTTCTATTTTAGGATTGAATTTTATTGATGCGCCCCATAAGTATCTTTCTATTTTTTCGACGCTTTTAGCATCAGTAAAGTCTAGTGTTTCCATTGAGGCTTTATGCGAATTTTCATTTAATGCAGCTCCTAATAAGTCATATAATTGAACTCTAAAAATAAAAGTACATACAATTAATAAGTACACGTGTAGGTACACAATAATAAGTTACATTAAAATGCCTTACACTATATCCACATTTTTTTCATCTGTCAATACTTTTTTAATAGTTTTCGTGTCACTGTTTACAATAGCATCCATAACTTTGATCGCCCCGTAAGCCGATTTGGACTTTCCCAGTTCTGAATCCAATAAAGAGTCGTGGTAGTTGTTAACCACGTCGTCCAACTAAAAACAAAAAGTACACAATATCTGAAATGATTTATTTTCTATATTATATTTTTATAATATAATAATATTATATTAAAATAAAGTAACTATTGGCTATTTGGTTTACTTACTTTATTACATGAATTGTAGTGTTTACAATTTTTAACCTCGTGGCTTGGACTTAAATTTTGTTTTTCTAGTTTCAGTTTCAGTTGTTGTTCTAATTGATGAATTGCTTCCTTCAATGTATTGGCTTCAATGATATCGTAATTTTGTTTAGTTTCTATTATACAACATTATTATTTTTAATAATTAACCACGCGTTACTATCAAAATCTAAGTTTGCAAATACCTTTTAATTCTATATGTTGTTTTGATGACACCGAGGCTCCTACTTCATTCATAAAGCTAGTAGAAAACTCATGATTTTCGTCAAAAGATACTTCAACCAAAGATTTTTGGTTGTATATCAGTAAACTTTCACGTTTTGAATGTAAAGTTCCTTGCCAAATCTAAGTGAAATACATTCAATAGGTACAAACACAGATATTTGAGTTAAGTCAAACATATATTATAATAATTACTACTTTTATATTACTTTGTCGGGATGTTTAATTTCAGGCGGCAGTGTTGTTGGTGAAACGCATTCATCAATTCGTTTTGAAACACTATTTTCATTTATTTTACTATAGGTCACGTTACACTCTCCGAGCGTAGAATATTCGACGGCATGTTGGTTTGACAATTGAAACTACGTGAGAATAAATTATTATTTTTATTACCTAATTTTCTTTTCTTTGTTTCTATTAGTACCTGAAAGAGGCCAGCGATTCCTTTTTTAAAATTTGCCTCAGTCAATGAATTAGTAGAAGAGACATACAGGTTTTCTATATGCCCGTTCCTCCAGTGCACAAAAAACGGTTGGTCTGAAAACCTATCAATCCTCGATTTACGGTCTATAAATTGACGATTAACATCGTTTTTAGACTTCTTGGACCACGTTTGAAGTTTGGGTGACTTGAACTACAAAAACAAATATTATTAAATTAGGTGCACAATGGGTCTGACCCTCCTTAAAACCTGAACTGACGTATAATATAGTACATCATATTATTATATTTTAATTTAAGTCCAAACATTAACAAGTTAAGTTACAAATATTGGAATCATTGTCTATTTGCTGGAAATGTAATAAAACTTAAATAAAATATAAGTATAAATATTTTAATTTTTACACAACTATACATTATAATACTATGGATAGTTTATAAAAATATGTAAAAAGTGATTATTATTAAGCAATAATATTTATTTAAAAAGGTTAAATAAAAACTGTATTTGAAAAAGAATTATGATTATTTCATTTTTATGCGCAGAGACGCATACATAATATTATATTCTACCGTAGAGTTTAGTGCATGAACTTCTATAGTTATTATACCTATTTATCTATATTATTATAGTTTCTTATGAAATTGTGTTCAGGCATCCAAGACTACAACAATTAACAGCATAATTACACGGTGGACCTACTACAAGCATTTATGATTGGTTTTTTTTCAATGCTATGTATAATGTATCGGTAGGTACTTACAGTCGGTATCTAAAACGTCTATGCCTTATAACTTATAAGTATCCTGTAAATGTAATAATATTAATAATATTACGATTTTTCTGCGTGACCGTTTCAAAATTTTTTATTATTTTTCACTCTAAAGGCGAAATTGTAGTAGATACTAATAATATTCGATAAGATCTCGTAAAAAAAGGATGAGTAGATAACCACATATATATATATATATATATATACATATATATATACGACAGAAGCTGATAATAATAATATGTCCCCAGCATACAATTTCACGGCACCAGCGGTTCTTACCAGATGCTGGTATGTTCAGTAGGTATATAGGAATAAGAAAATACCAGTTCATCGAAAAATATTTTATTTTATTAAGTTACTCAATAATTAGATATAGAAAAATACAAGTTAAATTACTCAAAAAAGGCTACCTAAAAAAAATTAACTAGTTAAGTTAAAAATTACCAGCACAAATAAATGTTAAATTTCTTACTAGTTAGTGCAGGGCATTGGTTATATTATGATATATTATAATATATATGATTCAGATTTATATAATATAATATATTGGGCATAATTCTAGTTTAGCGCCCACTCGAATTTTTCGATTTTTTTGTCGGAAACCTATGTATTTCGACGAGTTTAAAACGATGGTGTAAAAATTAATTTGCGGAAATGATTATTTTGGAAGTTACAGCCTTCCAAAGTTTGCGATTTTACGTTTATACGCATGCGCGCAACACCACTATAAGCGCAGCGACGAGTGCCGCAAGACGTGTTATACACTTATACATAGTACATACTATACAACATAACTTACCCTGTTACCTACTTGTGGTGGTGACGTGGTGTAAGGTGTTGCATATCAAGTCAAGGGATACTTTTTTTGTTTTTTACACTGAAAACCATATAAGGAGACTGACAAAAAGTAAAACCAATTCTAATATTTTATATTTTGTTTTTAAACAAAAAAAAACTGGGCTAAAATCTACTTTACCAACCCCCTCACGATTTTCAAAATTTTTTTTTCAAAAGACTTGTTTTTTTATGCTTAAAACGATGGTGTAATTTTTTTTTCCCGGAAACTATTATTTTAGAAGTTATAGCCTTCCAAAGTTTACGATTTTACGTTTATGCGCATGCGCGCAACACTACTATAATGCCACGCGGAGGACTATTTTTGTTATTTTTTTGTACTTACTTATTCTAACCTGTTTAAAACGATGGTACAATAATAATTTATCCCCCGACTTGCTGTGCAACACCTCCCCAAGTGGGTCACAGGGTTGAGAAAATATAATTTTTGTTGCACCGAGGCACCAATTTGAAAAAACATCGTACAGTGATGCGGTGCTAGCGGCACTCGTCGCTACGCTCCTCGGCGCCGTCGCTCCGCAACGCTACTTGACTGCCACGCGCGCCTATAACAAATTTTTTTTTACGTATTTTAACAAGTTTTGGGACATAGTCAGTCTTGGGTAAGTAATATTGTGAATCACGTCATTATTATGGTGAAATATAAACTATAGTTGAGTACCTAATTAGACTAGGTATATTAGCCAAATTAAAATAAATAATAAATAAATACTGTAAAAATGTTAAATATATTTGATACTAATTTTAAATTTATAGTAATTATATGCAAATATATGCAATTTTCTTAACCCTGTGACCAACTTGGGGAGGTGTTGCACAGCAAGTCGGGGGATATTTTCGATTTGCGGAGCGGAGCGACGGCGCCGAGGAGCGTAGCGACGAGTGCCGCTAGCACCGCATCACTGTACGATGTTTTTTCAAATTGGTGCCTCGGTGCAACAAAAATGATATTTTCTCAACCCTGTGACCCACTTGGGGAGGTGTTGCACAGCAAGTCGGGGGATATTTTCGATTTGCGGAGCGGAGCGACGGCGCCGAGGAGCGTAGCGACGAGTGCCGCTAGCACCGCATCACTGTACGATGTTTTTTCAAATTGGTGCCTCGGTGCAACAAAAATTATATTTTCTCAACCCTGTGACCCACTTGGGGAGGTGTTGCACAGCAAGTCGGGGGATAAATTATTATTGTACCATCGTTTTAAACAGGTTAGAATAAGTAAGTACAAAAAAATAACAAAAATAGTCCTCCGCGTGGCATTATAGTAGTGTTGCGCGCATGCGTATAAACGTAAAATCGCAAACTTTGGAAGGCTGTAACTTCCAAAATAATCATTTCCGCAAACTAATTTTTACACCATCGTTTTAAACTCGTCGAAATACATAGGTTTCCGAAAAAAAAATCGAAAAATTCGAGTGGGCGCTAAACTAGAATTGTTCCAAGCCACTGTAACTTATTGTACTAATCGTAATTTTTCCTTGTATTTTTCTCCAGACCCGAAAGATAGAGTTGAACCGAAAAGTGTTTATTCAAGATTGACCAAATGTTATTTGTTTGCTTTTAATTGCATTTTGTAAGTAAATTTTTTACTTCAGAATGTATTTTGAATTTTTGTTTGTACAATTTAAAAAAAAAGTTGGTAGGTACCTTTTATACACCTCAAAAATAACCATTATTTTCATCAGTACTCACGTGTAGCCGCAACAGTTTGTCGCCGGTGGTGTCGGTAGCAGGCCAGAGATTGGCGACCAACAGTCGGCCGACCACCCGATGACCAACCGCCGGGTCTCGGTTGTCTGAAGATCCACCGGTCAGCACGGTGGTCGTCGACTCGTACTCGTACTGGACGCCGGCCGGGAACAGTCGGCCGCTGTCCACCACAGCAGCCGAACACGGTGGCGGCGACGACGACGACAGTAGCAGCAGCAGCAGCAGTGGGAACGTAGCTGCGCTCCGGTCAGACGATGACGCCATCGGCGATATGGTGGGCACTCCTGCAGCTGATGCAGACGAATGGTTTTACGGATTACGAAGACGAATAAATAATATTAACATACATTGGATGAAATGCCAAATATTATTGGTTTATCGTTGGCTGGCGTATATCGCGTGTACGAATATAATCGATTGATTATTCGCCGTTTCGTGTGCAACAGTAACAGCTAACTATGGCTACGATATGTATGTATAGTTATTTTATTATAGTACCTACCAATATAATATTATTGTTATACGTTCAGTTGGCGCGCGCGAAACGACAGACAAGACCCGAAATAATAAACAACACGAGACTGACCACGACGACCGACGCGCACTGACTGCCTTCGAGTTGTTGTTATTATTATCTACACCGGTACGACGACCGGCGTGGCTTCATACATGATATATAATATATATATATGTAATATCATGTCGTATACCTGTACCGTTACCACTACCACTACCGCAGTCCTGCACTCTGATCGTATAATAATAATATGTTATATTATTCACGCGGTTACGTATAAAAACGCGCTTCCCGTACACTGAACCCGAACGACGGCGGCGGCGGCGGCGAGATGACGACCGCGATTGAGAAACGTCCGGACTTGATCGTATATTTTCAGCTGAGACTACCGTCTACCGTTGTCCGTTGCCATTTGCTGGCCCAGCGGCGCACGTTACGGTCACTGGTTGGGTTTAATACCGCGGTATAATATAAAATATTATATAATCGACTTATACAGTGTCTTGTTGTGTTCCGTATTATTATTTATGTATAGGTAACAAAATGTCAGCATAACTCAGTTACCAACTAGTCAAATATAGGTAATATATTTATTTAACCTATATAATACTCGTCTTGGTATAATATAGTCGAAACCCGGATTTATATTCGTTATTTTGTTCTATTGTGTAAATATGTATAAGTATAATTTTTTAAAATCTGCAGACAAAAATATCTCTGTACAGTGTGATTATCGTAATGCATCATTGATATTTATTCTATCAATGCCATTTATTGCAACCTATCCGCAATATTTGAACAATAGAGCCATATAGACAAGAACTCTAAGACATTAGATTGCCATCCCCAAGAAAAATAGAATCAACAACGACAACAGCTAACAAGAAAAGACTGCTTAAATTATACCAATGGTATCGCGGCGGAAAATTAATATGGACAGAATTTTTAGGAGTGTCACTACTATATGGAGATCGAGGTACTTTTTCCACACCCAAAATATACTATACCAAAAAAAAACTAACTAAATAAGTATAGGTACTTATGTCATGCTTGGAAAAATGTCAAATAATAAGATCGGTTACGTTAGGTTACTTTGTATTTGGTAACTATATAGTAACAAACAACAGTTTGAATTATTTTGAATAAGAGTTTGAAAGTATTATATAGTATAGTCGAAGGAGTGCTTGCCATATCATGCGGCTCAATACAAAATTTACTGATTTTATATAAATTTTAAAATAAATAAATTGTGTTTAAATATTGACAATATTGTAATGTTTTACGAAATTCGCTGTATTTTAATATCAATTGTTAAGTATAGGATTACGCCATTATGGATACTAGCCAGTGGCGTAGTCAGGGGGTGGCTAAGGGGGCTATATCCGCCCCCCCCCATTGACCGGTGTCGACAAGGTGTTTATCAAGGTTAATAAAAAAAATGAAAAAAGTAAATAAAAACCACATTGTATTTGTATACTTAGCCCCCCCCCCATAAAAAATTCCTGGCTACGCCACTGATACTAGCCAATGCACATTGTTCATAGATAATTATTTTTTGCTACCTCAGAATTTTTACTCAAGTGACGCCCATGCCGACCAGCAATAAATGTCCAATAGTGGATTTTTTATCACCAGGTGACTGGTTCAAGCTCCGTATTCGGTTCTGCAGGATTTACTATGACAGGTTTTAGAATTTAAGAGTTGGTCATTATACACGACTCCACGTCTTTAGTTTATACTTTATTAAATTTTCATATCACAGAGTAAACTCTTTAACATATACCTATTACATTTTGTCAATTGCCAACTTAAATACAATATAACATTACCTATCAGGCATCAGCTATAGTAGGACGTAATTAGGCAATCGTCGGTGGATAGCAGTGGCGCCGAACACGTACTTAAGGTGGTGCATTTGCACCACCTACAATTGGTGGGTGGGTACTGGCCACTGGGTGTCTGGGTCCATATAGTTTTGAAAAACTGACACTAAATAGCCAGTAAGTACCTACTTAATACGAACTTGTTAATACTTTAATAATTGATGGCCAAGTAATTGTAGAAAGTAGAAACAAAGTGTAATAAATATTACTAATAATGCATACTAATGTTTACAAATTAAAACTATTAATATTCGGCGCTGATCAAGGTAGCACACCGTACAGCGCACATGCGCACTAGATGATACAATACTCTGTATATTACTGTATATAATATATATATATATATCACTGTAGCACAGGCCGCACCACCCACCCGCATCCCGCCTGGATTTTCCGTCTATTAGACATTAGTATAAGGTCTATGGTTATTATTAACTATACGAACATAATAATATGTCGTATTGAGTTATTGACTATAATTGTCGACACAACAAGATGTTAAAAATACAGGAAGCTTATTAACATTACTTCAAATATGCTACTCAGCTGGGCTTCATAATGTATTCCCTACATTATTCATGGCCCTTCGTATTGCTTGTACATTACCAGTATGTAGTGTAACCACTGAAAGAACTTTTTCAAAATTAAAAATTATCAAAAATCGGTTAAGGAGCACTATGAAACAAGATCGTCTAGAGTCATTGTTAATAATATCATGTGAGTCCGATGTGCTCATAGATAATAATGAAGTGGTTGATGTATTTGCAAAATGTAGTTCAGTACTAAGCAAAAAACTTATTGGTTAAAACTTAAAATGTAAAAATTAATTATATACCTACATAATATACATGTATTTTATAGATAGATCATAAATGTATTGATTTATGTATAAAACAATATTTTATTAAAGTTTTATTGGAAATGTTGACTTTGAACCTAATTAAAAATAAAATTTTTGTGGGTGTCTAGGTAGGGGTGGGTGGGTGGTTAAAATTTGTGTTTGCACCACCTACTAAAAAGTAGTTCGGCGCCACTGGTGGATAGCATAGTTTTATAGTTTTATATTTGCATCGCTGACCGATGTGTGATATCAAAGCGCGATGGGACTATAACTACAAATTCACTAGATTAAACCGGTGTGTAAAATATTGCACCGGAATGTTTGGACCAAATCGTTTACATGGTTCATTATTCCGGTGCGGGATAATGTGGGATAATTTTAAACCTGTCTAGTTTAGCGAATTTCTAGTATATCTATGTCTATAACCGGTGGCCGGTGCCCTGTGTGTATACCAACCGAAATTATTAATAACTATCTGTCCTGCCCGACGTTGTCCAGGCCTATAAAGATTTGTATTTTTAATAAATATATTTGTTCAAAATTTATATGCCATATTTTTCTAATATATTATAATATAGCTGATCCCGCATACTTTGTTGCCCGTAAAAAATATCAGTTCTTAAAAAAATTGTGATTGTTCAACTTTTTTTGGGTGTAACTCGCTGCAGTAAGTGCAACTCAGCTATCCCGGTCGGTAATCCGACTACGTTGGATCGCGGACAATGTGCATAATTATAACAGCATAATTCGCACCTCTGAAAGAATAGTGACAACTCAAAAAATACGATTTTCGAATTATTACCATCAACATTTTCAGAATTTCATTCTTTATATTTTAGTGTACTTAAAATAATAATTTAAGTACCATTTCACCTAGGTTTTATTGTAAATCTGATGTAATTTTGACTTGTGTCAATATTACATCAGATTTATAATAAAATATAGGTGAAATTATATTTAAATTATTATTTTAAGCATATGCAAGTAAACTATACAATATGAAGAATAATATAAGATTGAAAAAAGCAAAATTACTTAAAAATCCTATTTATAATGACTAAATTACATAATAAAACATTTTAAAGTCGATTTCCCAACATTTTGATATTTTGATTTGTGTCACTATTCTTTCAGGGGGAAAATTATATCAAATAGGCATTGAGCGAAAATTCTATTGTATGCATGCTGATCTGCCCAATTAACCAATGGTAACTAATATACAAATAAAATACTAATTTCTACTAATTATCATTTCTTCTATAACCAATAGCAACCATTAATAAACAATACTCATTGTCATCAATCTCAAAATCCCTGTTTGAGAACCTCCCCAGGTTGTACCTACCGGGTCCAATTGTGAATCTAAATCATCCAGGGAACCACTCAAACACATACAAAAAATTTCATAAAAATCGGTCCAGCTGTTTAGGAATGCATAAGGGATACATACAGACAAACATTCATTATTATATACATGTATATTATTGTTATTATTTTTGACTGCCCAATTAATTTTCCAAAACAAAATATACATATTAAATCTTTCCCCGTAACTTAATTGATCTATTAGCGAAACCCGTATAAAATCCGTTGAGTACTTTTCGAGATATGGCTCGTACATACGAAAAAAACATTATTGAAGTTTTAGTAGGGATCCCTATTTTTTTCTAGTAATTAATATATTTAACATATATTAAACTAATATATTTATTTATTACTCAGAGATGATGTAGCGTTCTAATTGTGAAAAAATGTTTGAAATCGGTCCAGTAGTTTTTGAGTTTATTCGTTACAAACATACAAATATTTCCTCTTTATAATAATATTATTATATGTAGCATATTATAGCATTTATCTATAAATGAACTACCCATCACAAAAACAATTATTCAATCCAAACCAGTAGTTCCTGAGATTAGCTCGTTTAAAAAAACAAACTCTTCAGCTTTATAATATTAAAGTATATATTAGTATTGTCGTAACTCGTATTGATAAAAATATATAATATATACTTTGTCGATAG